CTTTAACCCAATCTCTCAAAATAATTTGCTAAACATAGCAATGTCTAGCTGTGCACAAGTTTGAAATTTTCCTAAGTTTTTTTGAGTTGAACTCTATTTCAAATTGCATTTCTAAGCTATTGAAAATATTACTAAGCAATATTATTTTTCAACAACAAGCATTTCATTGTCATCTACAAAGTTTGCACTTCCAACTTTATTTAAGTGTCACATACATGTTCTATAGCATTTTTGTTCAATAAAAATTAGTTTTAAACCCTACTTGATATGCATGAACTATCGAATTAACTTTCGTTTAGCATTTTTATTGATCATTTTGAGTTACAAAAATTGATCTACACACTTTATCACATGCATTAACACACAAGTATGATGCTTATGACATGTTTTAGTAAATGATTTAGGGTGTAACACCGAGGGTGTTACAGTTGTACCCTGGATAAACACCACAGGATCGTCCAGATCTTATTGATCGGGTCTTTGGGGCAAAACTGGAAGAGCTTAAGCACATGTTGATAAAAAAGGATATCCTTGAAAAGGTTCGTGCACACATGTATATTGTGGAGTTCCAGAACAGGGGTCTACCGCACACACATTTTTTGCTAATCATGGAGGGACGCTACAAAATCACATGCCCAGAGTAGTATGACCTTCTCATCTCAGCCGAGCTCCCAAACAAGAAGAAGTATCCATACTTGTATAAAGTGGTTACAAAGCATATGATGCATGGCCCTTGTGGAGTAATTAATCGCAATTGCCCATGCACAAAGGGCCATGAATTATGCAAGAACCGTTACCCGCGACCTTTTTGTGATACCACATTACAGGATAAGGATTCATACCTAGTTTACAGACGGCGTGATGATGGTAGAAAAGAAAAAGTTCGCGGGCATGACCTTGACAACAGATGGGTCGTGCCTTACAACCCATACATCATACGTCTGTTCAATTGCCACATCAATGTTGAGGCATGTGGGAGCATCAAGGCCATCAAGTATTTGTTTAAGTACATTTACAAGGGTCATGACCATGCATCTGTGGCTATGAGAGAGGCTGACAAGGAGGAAAATGAAGGAAGCATCGACGAGACCAAACAGTATAGGGATGCTAGATGGGTAACTCCACCAGAAGCCTTATGGAGGATATATGGTTTTGATATAATTGATAGGTCCCCTTCGGTGTTGTCCTTGCAGCTCCATCTTCCTGACATGCACATGGTGTCATTTCACCAGTGTGAGGGTGTTCGACGAGTGCTTAATTGTTCAGGTGTTGAAAGGTCGATGCTTACAGCCTACTTCGAGAAGAACAACACATCTGAACATGCCCACGGTATATTGTATCGGGACTTTCCTGAGTACTATAAGTGGGACTCACAGGGAAAATCATGGATTAGGAGGGCGCAAAAGAATCATTTAAGACAGATTGGAAGAGTTGTATGTGCCAATCCGGCCGAAGGGGGGCGTTACTATCTTAGGGTGCTTCTAAACCACGTGCCCGGTGCAACCTCCTTCACTAATATAAGGACGGTTTCTGGCATACTCCTACCAACTTTTTGTGAAGCTGCAAAAAGAAGGGGCCTCATTGAAGCGGACAACACACTGCACAAGGGCCTTGCTGAAGTTACTCTGTGGATGATGCCATATGCACTGCAAAGGCTCTTTGCAACTATCTTGGTATTTTGTGAGCCGAGTGATGTGTTAGAACTCTAGGAAAAGCACAAGGAGGCAATGTCAAAGGACTACATGCGCAATAACCAGTCCAGCTTTGCAGTGGAGCAGATGGTCCTCATAGATATTCAAAAGCTGTTAGAATCAATGCAGAAGGGTATAAATATGTACCCACTTCCTGATATCGATGACACATATGATTCATCTAGCGATATTCCTAGGGAGATTTTCGAGGAGGCTAGCATTGAGGCAAGCGTTGATGACATGGCACTATCAAAGACCCTTAATGAGGAGCAGCAGGCTGCCTACAATGAGATTATGTCTGCTGTTGATAGCGATCATGGGGGTTTGTTCTTTGTGGATGGACCTGGCGGCATCGGAAAGACTTATCTATATAGGGCCCTACTCGCTACTATACGTAGTCAAAACAAGATTCTTGTTGTAACAGTAACATGTTGCTGCTTCAATAATGCCTGGTGGTAGAACCGCCCACTCGTGCTTCAAGATTCCCCTCACCCTCAATGATGGGGCCTTTTGCAGCTTCACAAAATAGAGTGGTACCGCCAAGCTGCTTCAGACCGCATCCCTTATTATTTAGGACGAGGTGACGATGATGAAGAGGCAAGGTGTCGAGGCACTAGATAACAACCTCTGTGATATCATGGACCGTCCTAACCTGCCGTTTGGGGGCAAGACTGTGGTGTTTGGTGGAGATTTCAGGTAGGTTCTCCCAGTTGTTCGAAGAGGGTCAAGGGCTCAAATAGTTGGTGCCTCATTGCGGATGTCGTACCTTTGGAATTCCATGCGACATCTCAAACTGGTGCGCAATATGAGGGCAAAGAGTGACCCATGGTTTGTAGAATACTTGCTACGCATCGGGAAGGCTCTGAGGAGGCTAATGGTGATGGTGAAATCCGCCTTTCTGATGATATATGCATACTATAGACCGGGGATGACAGTGATCTTGATACGTTAATGGACTGCATATTCCCTGCCCTCAATGCCAATATGTCAAACAAGAGCTACATCACCTCACGAGCAATATTATCTCCGCGGAACAACTGGGTTGATATGATTACCATGAAGATGATAAGCCGTTTCCATGGGGATGAGGTGGTGTACCATAGCTTTGATAGTGCGATGGATGATCCACACAACTACTACCCATCTGAGTTCCTCATCACTTTGACCCCCAACGGTCTCCCTCCACATGTGTTAAAGCTCAAGATTGGGTGCCCGGTCATATTGCTAAGGAATATCAACCCTGCGGGTGGACTTTGCAATGGAACCAGGCTGGTTATTCGGGGGTTCCAACGAAATACCATCGATGCAGAAATTATGGTCGGAGACCATGCCGGAAAGCGAATCTTCCTACCACAGATTTCGTTATGCCCCTCGGATGATAAGATGTTCCCGTTTCAGTTCAAGAGGAAGCAGTTTCCCATTAGGCTCAGTTTTGCCATGACGGTTAACAAGGCACAGGGGCAGACTATCCCAAATGATGGTGTGTATTTGCCTGAACTGGTGTTCTCTCATGGTCAGTTGTATGTTGCGCTATCTAGAGCCACTGCCGGATCGAACATCAGGATCCTTGCCGTCCCACCCAGTGATAAGAAGGATAAGAAAAGGAAGACAATAATTAATGGTACATACACAAAAAAATATTGTCTACAAAGAGGTCCTAACACCATAAAAAGGTACTGACTTCTGCTTTGTACAAGTATTACATATCTTACATTTGTGACCTTTGTTACTGACATTTGTCGTATCCATTTGCATTTCAGGTATCATAAGAAGTCTGAGAACAATAGGAGACAAGTAGCGTATGATGAGCTTGTGGACATGTTACTGATTGGATGTACTCATTATATCATAATATATTTTCAATAACTATATGTGAATTTATGTTTAATTTGTAACATGATGGTTATTATTTCTAACATGCCTCTTTTCTTATATGGTTAATATTTAGCTTTATGTCAAATAAATTGTTAATGAATGTATGAGATTTTACATATGTTCTACACGTGCGGCTATCTATTGTGAGATTCTATGTATACCTGTAGCAACGCACGGGAACTTAACTAGTGAAGAGAAGAAAAATGAATAGATTGAGACAAAAAGGAAAAGAGAAAAGGAAAGAAAAAAGAAGGGGGAAAAAGGAAGTGAGAATGAGAAAATAAAAATATTGATCGTGAAACGGCGGCAGCCTTCCGGTTTCCGGTGCACGATCCGTTTTACCTCCTCGGCAAGTCGGCATCTTCTGTAATCTATAACCAGACACCAGCGCCGTGGAGGCCCATCCGACCATCCCCGTCTGGTTCTGCTCGCTTTTCGCCTGGGCCGTTGTAACTTGTTGTGAGCACGTAAACCTGACACCCGTGACCCGACACCCGATTCCACCTATAAACCCCCAAATGATAAGGGCCTGTTTGGATCAAAGGATTTTTGTAGGAATATCAAAGGAAATGAAAACGCTGGAAAGGGAAATGAGTAGCGCGTTTGGAACGAAGGAAAACAATCTTTCCTTTCCTCCGGAACACCGTGCCTCCACGATTTCACAGGAAAACAAAACTCTAGTCCGATCGCTGGTTTCTGCTTCCTTTGCGAAGTCCGAGGTGAGCACACCATTAAACACACGGATGGGGTGCATTACCATTAGAAAAGAGCCAGGTGACTAGTACTACTTTGTAGTTTGATTCTTTGTTTGTGCTAAGTACTGCTCCTCAGCTGCTTTTTCCTGCGTTTCGATTTCCCACGTTCCAAACACTCTTTCACATCATATTCCTATGTTTTTCCTTTCCTCTGTTTTGCTAGGATGCCTATATCACTTTCCTGTGTTTTTTTTCCATTCCTCTATTTTGCATTCCTTTGTTCCAAACAGGCCCTAAACCTAAAGCCAGGCGTTGGCGGCGACTTCCATCGAGGCGATTTCGAGTGAAGCATACTCTCCATTGCCGGTAAATCCACCTTCCTCCAACCTACTTGCACGCATTTTGTGGTAGCATTGGTATCGTAGCGTGTTCTTGCTCCTGAAATCTCATCTCCCCTCTTTGCTTTACTGTGCGCCGTTGTGTTTCATTTTCATCGCAAGCGAATTGCTGCTCTCCGCAAAAATGCCAAGTTTGAATCTTGAATACCTTCTCTTTGTGTGGTTGAGCATCTCTGAGAGTTTCCTAAATATTCCTCCTAAAAAGTCTATGTTTGCCAACTTCTAAAAATGTTTTAGGAGAAAAAAAGAAGTTAATCTCCAATAGTTCCTAATATTTGACTTCTAAAAAAATCAAATACTGGTCCTATTTGAACTTTTTTCTGCAGTATTTTTTTTAGAATTTAAATCTGCACGAAGAAGAGGATAAGCATGCTTGGTATGGTACCTCTGATGGCGATGCACTCGCTCTCCATGCGGTCGACGAGGCCGACGGCGTAGTTGGGGTCGCGGATGGAGCGGTGCACGTACTGGCGGCTGCGGCCGATCCCGCCGCCGCCAACGGACTCCTGTGGCACGATGCAGGCCTGCATCCTGGCCTCGGTGGCCGCGTCCACTAGCTCCCCGCTGCAGTCGCCGCCGGCGAAGAGCTGTCGCTGCTGCCCCTGCGCGGAGGTGGAGCGGTGCACGCGCACCTCGACGGAGGTCTCCCCGTGATTGTAGGCCGCGTGCAGGAGCTTCTGCAGCGCGGCGCGGCCGCCCTTGAAGGGCGCAGCGTGCGATGCGGGCCCGCCTAGGCTACCAACCCCGATGAGGAGCTCCTCCACGACGTCCCCCGTCTGCACCGTCTCGCTGCTCCCGGGCCCCCACTCCTCGGCCCGCGACCCGCCCGCGACGCACTCGATCGCCACCACGCCTGCTTGGTCTCCGCGCGTGGCTTCGTCCGCGTAAGGAAGGAAGAAATTTTCTAAGTCCTAAAAATTTAGGAGTAAATATTAGGAGTTGTTGGAGAGAGTTTTTTCCTATCTTTCTAAAAAATAAGGATTAGGAGGATGTTTAGGGAACTCTCGGAGATGTTCTTAGAAAGATCTTTTTTATTTGGTTATAAGCAAATAACAGTATCCGTCTTAAAAAACCCTAGCTTTTCATGGTTTGAAGTTTTGGATCTGCGATAAGCCGGCAGTAATCGCTTAGTGACTTGCAAGATTCAGCAATAATCGCTTACAGTTTTAGAGTTTGGGCAAAGTTGCGACAGGCAAATCATGTCAGTCTCTTCTGATCACATACTCGGGTTCTGGGATCCGCTCTCAACTAACAATTAAAATAACAATTAGTATGATGTACTACCAGATTTCATTCCTTTATGCAAAAAGACCACCAGCTAAACAATCGAAACTTTCATATTGACGTAAAGATAATATATGAAATGTTTGGGCTGTTCTATTTCCCCCATCAATCATCGTTTAATGTATTAATTGTGGAATGCTTGCGTGGCAGGTTTGTGTGGTAAGGAATCCTAGTTAGGGCTGCTATGGAGTCAGATGGATCCATACGAATCAACTATGGAGAATATGAACACTGGAAGTATGACAAGTTTGCCCGCGTCGTCAACAACATGTTGCTCCGCCGAGAAAATGTAGACTTGCATAAATTCCAGGTGTGCTTTAAAGGCTACCATCTCATAAACTTCAAGGATGTGAGAACATGGATTCAGTATGTCGTGAATCATGGTGTCGAAGTGCTAGATGTGAACCTGGGTCGGTATGACAAGACTTTTCTGCCTCGTTGCATTTTCGCTTGTCGTTCGCTTGAGGAGCTAAATTTACAGATGGGAGAAGCTCCTAAAGATGATCTTGAGCATAAGGGGCTTATGTTGTCAGACAAAATATGTCTTCCTTCCCTCAAAAAGTTGAATCTCTGTGATGTGGAGGTGGATACTTTGTCTCTTCGGCAAATCATTAGTGGGAGCCCTGGACTAGAGGACGTGCATTTGAGCAACTCTACACAGCATCTTGAGCTTGTAAAATCAAACATGCTAAAAATGCTAGAAATTCATGGCTTCTTTGGTCAAGGCAAAGGACTCACTATTGCTGCCCCTCATCTCACTCACTTTGAGTGCATACGCTGGCCACTGGAAGAAAATTCTTGGCAAAAACGGCCATTCTAGAGGGTGCACATATAGATACTTGGTGTTCTGGATGCACTTTTGATGGTCAGTCTGATCTTATTGGTATTGTTTTGCATGCCAAGAGACTCGCATTATGCGGTTCTGACATAAAGGTATGCTTGACTCATGACAAGTTCCCCTGTTTCAGTGCTATGAATATTCTGAATGGAAATTGGTTGATCTTTTTTTGTATGCTACTCATGACAAGCAATTTTTCATTTTTTTTCTAGTCCATCTGGATGTGTTATGTATTTATTGTGTTTATAAGCAGAATAAAAGTGATGTTGAACAACTTCCTTTGATTAGTTGAAGGTCCAACAATTGCACAGACACTGGCAATGTTGTTGCTTGCTAGAAATATGATTGGCCATCCTTATTGATGGTTTAGTGGTACAAAATTTATGTACTGATTGACAATAAACTATGCGACTTACTAGAATGAAAAATCTTGACTGCAAAAATGTGCTTCGGAAATAAAAAAATGTTTCTTCTTAAGATCATAAGTTTTGGATTCTGCTGTATCTCTCAATCTAGATTCTCTGTGCTCCAATAAATATAATATAAATCTTTTCAGGAGTTCAGTAGTGAAGCCTTCGTTCTTGTGTAGTTTGTATCTACAAATTGATTGTTAGATGTGGCACGAAAGCTTAGGGCCTGTTGTGCTCCGTGATATGTTGTGCAGTGGTGCCATTTGATGATTGGCGGCTATGCCTACGTTTCTAAACTTATTTGTTCATTACTATTATGTCTGTCGATATCCTGGCATATGTTGACCCGCCCTCTTGAAAATCTAGGCTATGTTGGAAAAGGAACTGCCTACATGCTCACTGTTCGACAACCTTGTAACTCTTGAAATTGGTGGATGGTGTTTGACCAATGACTTGTACATTGTAGTTCGCTTCCTCCAGCTTTCACCAAGACTTGAAAAGCTTACCTTAAAGCAGAGAAAGGTATGCTTCATTCATAATTATTACTGCTTTTGCTAGAGAAGATCAAGAAAGTGTCTCTTTATTTCTCTTGTCGTTTGCAGCTTTACAAGGCAATGATAGAGAAACAACAAGTTCAATGTCAATTGCTGGAATGACATTCAAGTGCCCACTCCTTGAAACACTCATAATACTATGTTCCAAGGATGATGTCGAAATCGGGAAGACGGTAGCTGCTATGGTAGCACTTGGCATCGGCTTGGAGAAAATACAAGTATTTTTTTATGAGGATATTGAAAGAGCAGAGAGGTGGGGCGTGAGTCTAGAAGAGTTGAAGAAACAGGACGCCTTAGATAAGATGCTGAAGGAAAATCGAGAAAAGGTAAAGGGTAGTAATGCACGGAGTGATAACAATAACGATGGAGACGAGATGGAGGATGAAGACTACTACAGCGATGAAGAAGAGATGGATGACGAGGACAGTGAGATGGATGATGAAGATGACGACGACGATATGTAGGACTAGGCAACAATGATGTCTTTAGAGCTCAGTGAGTTGCTCCACAGTTGTCCGCCCTTTTGCACAGCATGGACCTGATCCATTCTGTAGTACTATGTTAGTCTTGGATTCTTCTTAGTCTTAGTAGTGAGACTTGATGTTGGTGAGGTCAAGTTTAAATTAAGTATTTAAGTTTATGATATGCTCCTGATTGCTAGACCTCAGAAAATCAAGGCCAGTAACTGCATGATTTTTGCACAGTTTCATGTCGAGCATGAACCCTTAGAGCAACTCCAACATACTTAAAAATCTAGAGCCGAAAATGCTTTGAAGCCTCTCTAGAAAACAACCCTCCCACTGCCTCTCTCCTTGGTAGCAGATCGACAATCGTCCCCATTGGCCGGTCATGTCGAGAAAGGGTCGCCTACGCTGCGCCCTTGAGGATGAGAGGAAGCACAAGGCCGGTGAAAGGTCCTAATATGGCTAGAGGAGGGGTGAATAGCCTATTTAGAATTCTACAAATCAACTAGAGCAATTTGATTAGTATGACAAATAGCGTAATGCAAACTTGCTCTAGCTCTACAAAGGTTGCAAGCCACCTATCCAACAATTCTAGTTGCAATGATTACTTAGGCACCCAAACTTGCTATGTAACTACTCACTAAGAGCTCTCAATCTTGCTACTCTAAAGAGCTCAACTTGATGAATATAAATAATAAAGCAAGCTCTCAATTCTAATTACACTAAAGAGCTTGTATCAACTAGTTTGCAAGAATGTAAATAAGTGAGTAGGGTGATTATACCGCCGTGTAGGGAATGAACCAATCACAAGATGAAGATTAAGCCAATCACCGGGAGAATGCAAATGACAAGAGACAACCGATTTTTCTCCCGAGGTTCACGTGCTTGCCAACACGCTAGTCCCCGTTGTGTCTACCAACACTTGGTGGTTCGGCGGCTAAGAGGTGTTTCACAAACCTCGTCCACACGATAGGACACCGCAAGAACCGACCCACAAGTGAGGTAACTCAATGACACGAGCAATTTACTAGAGTTACCTTTCGGCACTCCCCCGGGGAAGGTACAACTCCCCTCACAATCACCAAAGGTGGCTGAAAGGACCTAGGATGCCGCCTAGAGGGGGGGTGAATAGGCGTTTCTGAAAAATAACACCTTTAAATGCGGAAACAATTAGAAAGGGGAGTTTCCAAAATGGAAACTCCAAATTAAGAGTACTACCACCCCTCACAAGTTAGCCACAAAGTAAACAAGGTATAAAGAATATATCTAGAAGCTACAACCCCGCAACACCAAGTTAGAACAGAGAATAAATATTTTCGGTGCAGAAGCAGGAAATACCGGACGATATGCGGTATGAATACCGGACGTGTCCCAGATATACGATTTCGCAAATCGGCCCCGAACTTGCTCCTTTCGATTTCTATCTTCAAACCAAACTGCAGCACCTAATGGAGATGACAATATACACAGAGAACCTGCAGAACAGCTAGAGCAACACAAATATCAAATGAAATGCGAATTTAGACACGATATTTGTTTCTTAGAAGTTCGGACTCGTTCGAGTCCTACTCTCCGTTGAGGGGGCTGCGTGGCGACCCAAATAAGGTCACCCTAGAGGGTACCACGAAGGTCACTCTAGCTGAGTCTTTTCAGCTCCTTTTCCTCCTTCCACTAATTTGATTCGAGGCGGAATCGACCTGTTACATAAACTTTCCGAAGCAACCACAATCTCTCGGTTGCTCTCCGTGACGCCTAACCGTCTAGGACCAAGAGTCCAAGAGTAACAAATGCGAATCACGAGATTGACAATATGCACAAGTGCTCAAGTGGTGGCTTGCTCTCTTTTTAAAATTCTCTCTCAACCCACAAATTGATTTTGCAATTTGGATCACACACTCACTAAGAGAGGGTTTAGGAGAGTTGGCAAGGCTCAAAAACGTGTGTCTATCTCAAAAGAATCAATGACCTCCAAAGGTGGAGGCTTGGGGGTATTTATAGCCCCTTGAAAAACTAGCCGCTTTATAGTCGTTTGTAATCGGGACACGTCCGGTATGCATACCGGACACGTCCGATATGACTCGAGGATCGCGCTTAACGGTAACTAAAGTTACTGATGATGTTGTGAGGCGCCGGAACTCCCAAGTATGCCGGGACTTCCGACCGTCGGAACTCTCGACTCAAGTCGGAACCCCGACCCTCGGTAATTTTGAAAACATGTGGCGAGTTAAAGTTAGTGAGGTGTCGGAACTCCCGACGCATGTCGGAACTCCCGACCCTCACGGCTTTTGAAAACTAGCCATTGGCTTCGGTCATCCATACTGGGACACGTCCCGGTGTGAATACGGACACGTCCGGTATGACCGAGACGATGAAACCTCTAAGTCTGTTGAAGTGCGAGACGCCGGAACTCCCGACCCATGCCGGGACTCCGACCGTCGGAACTCCCGACCTACGCCGGAACTCCCGACGAAGCAACCCGAGAACAACAATTTTACAATTCTTTGGACAAATACGGACACGTCCGGTATGAATACGGACACGTCCGATATTGCTGCATCAAAGAAGAAATCGATTAGCACATTTGTCGCTCAAATAATCAAACCTCACATGGGTTGGGTTGAGCACTTATGAAACATTATCTATCAACATGATGCATCCCTCTTAATAGTACGGCATACCTATTAAACTCAAGATCAAAGGAAAAATGAATTTATACCACTTGAGTTGATTTCTTTTGAATTGATGCCGTCCCTTCCAATCTTCATTAAGTAAGGGTGCTAACAAGTTGATGTTGATCTTTTCATTTGAGCATAGCCATCTTGAGCATGTGACTTGATTCCATTCATCAAATTTGAATAACCCCAAACGTATCAAGTCACTTCCATCAAATACTTCATTATAGATTTGATTCTTCACATCAATATGACCATCTTAGCTTGATTAGTACCTCAACTAAATGCAAGTACTTTCTTCTTCACCCTAGCTAGGTTCTTCGGCCGCCAAGCCGTCGCTTGCCCTTCACCCTTGCTTAGTACCTCGAAGCCTTTCCTTGCTATCTTCACCATCTCAAGCCATCAAGTCACATCTTGTGTTGAATCATCCATTCATATGTATTGTTATCTTTTTCATTTTAATTTAGCAAGCTTCAAATATGAGACCATTCCATATGCAATCCCTCATGTCTCATTAACTAATAATCATGAGCTTGCTTTCACATAGTACATGGAAATCCCACAAAAAAATAAGCCTTCACATGAATTCCATTTGCATTGTTGTCTTGTGCTTGAACTAGATTGTTTATACAACAACACATCATTTTGGCTTTTCATTAAGTATCTGTGAGATAACCTATTACCTGTTCACACTTAGCAAACGGGTTAGACCTTTAATCATGTTGTCATTCAATCATCCAAAACCCACTAAAGGGCTAGATGCACTTTCAATCTCCCCCTTTTTGGTGATTGATGACAACTTGATTAAAGCTTACAAAAGAATATAAACATTTAAGATTTTGGGTTCAATGATTTATGAGAGGCTCCTCCTTAATATGTGCTTATGATTAGAATTCACAAAATGACCTCGATTTGTTAATTGCACATACTAAAACATATAGGAGACTCCCCCTAAATCATTGCATCCGTGGGGTGCATGTGTGTGTCAAAATAAAAACCATGATGCATATGACATGATATATCACACAAGACTAAACAAAAAGCATCACACCATACAAAGTCACTCTAAAACATGCATGGTCCTTATGAAAGTAAATACATCATATATATCACACACATAGCACTCATCTCAAAGATTTCTCAAGTCATATCTCTCCCCTTGTCATAGCTAGACACAAGGTTGCACTCCTGAAGCTTTAAACATATCTCTCCCCCTTAAGCTTTCATCTCTCTCCTCCTTAAGCTTTAATCATATCTCTCCCCCTTTGTCATCTATCGCCACAAAGGGTCACACAAAGCACAAAGGGTGCTTAAGGTTCAAACTTTGTACAAATCTCTCCCTCTTTGTATTAACCTCTCCCCCTTTGTCATCTTAAAGAGGTTGTACTTGTCACTTGTTTGCAATTCAAAATAGATCAAGTACATGGGTTTACTAGCTCATGAACAAACTCATACACTAACCACTAGATCATAAAATCATTCAGGCAATAGTGGTAGTCTATGAATCTAAAAATTTTCATTTGTAGTGCATGATCCTATAAGCATGTACTATATGCACTAACCGCATACTAGTAAGGGATGAAAAATGATCATGCACAATACAATGATACCTTTGCTATGTTGGAGAGGAAGATAGTCATATAGATTTCAATTCATTTCTCCAGTAGCACCATGAAGTCCAATTATAAGCTTGGTGAAGACCAATAGATACCAATTCTTTGAATTCCTATTCTTCACCCATATGAATTGAGAATCACTAATGATCAAGTGCACTTTTCTTGTTGTGGTTGGCTTGCTTCTTCTTTGATCATTGCTTGCTTGAGAGAACTAAAAGATGCACCACTTGTAATACCACTTGAAATTTCATGATACCACTTGAAATTTTATGACTTGTTCTCTTTTGGGTGTTGCTTGCTTTTTAGACCAATCTCTTGATTTTCTTCAACCAAGTACCTCAAATGTCCCTTTTAGATTACCACTTAGATTTTAGCCATCCAAGCCTAGAGCGAAGTGACCTCTCTCCAAAGAACCATCCTTGATACTCACTTGAAATAACTTGAAAGAAAATCACTTGATCCACTTGAAAGATTTTGTTTGATTGATCCATATTGTTGGACTTAATTTGATGAATAACTTTAAATCATTCTTTAAGTCCTTTTCTTTCTACTTGTTTAAGTCCTTTTCTTTCTATCAAAAGATCTCCAATTATCACTAGAATTTAAACTCCATCTTCATCTTGATCTTGGTCTTGATCTCTAGCTTGAGTACCAAATGTGTACTAGATACACTCTTCAAATAAATTGTCTTGTACTCATCATTTGTCATGCT